TAATAAAGGTGGTGAGGACTGCTTCGAGGTGGACCGTCGCTCCGGTGACATCAGGACCACCGGGCGACCTCTGACCCCGAGCAAAGAGTACCGGCTGCGGGTGCAGGCGGTGGACGGACTCGGTCGCAAAGGCCCAGCAGCCACCGTGTCGATCCTCGCCGGCTTCCGACCGCCGCAGTTCACCAACTCCACCTACAGCCTGAACGTCCTGGAGAACACGCCTGTTGGCCAACCGTGAGTCCTCACAGCAGTCAGAGAGTTTATGTGTAGTTTAGGTGGTGCTCGGATCTGATAGGGAAAGACTGTCTAGCTCTGCGATGTTCGCTGATGTGCCACCTGCCTAATATGCTGTTCACGTGAAAACAGCTCACTCCCACTGATGTATGGATACTTAAAAACCTCTTCAGGATGTGTCCCCAACATGTTAGCAGCAGATCTTTCAAGTTGCGAGTCGCTGCAGGTCAGGCTTTCACATCTCCTAACACCCTGTCTCCGGTTCGCCGTTTGTGAGATGCTTCGGGCCAGTCGTCTGCCGTAACCGTTTAGTCTGTGTCAGAGTTACTCAGGTCTTGTCATGTGATGCAGGACTGACCAGCGTTTAAGAAAACTGAAGGGCTGAAATTTGAAAGATGTTAATTTTGTGTAAATGGTTTCATAATTTCACCCAGAAGCACTGCAGAAATGTGTGACTAAATAGAAAGTCTATAAAGTATTCCACTGTTTAGACAGGAGGTTTAGTTTAGATAAATGACTGTGATCGGCCCTTAGTTGCATAAACTGTTGAAGACAGTAGTGGGTTTCTTATTTACACAGCGCTGCCGCTTCTCGCTACACTTTTGGACGTTGACATGGAAACACCAACGAGCAAAATATGATGTTGTAGTCTTCAACCAGGACAGAGCTTCTGGTTTTTGATAAATCACTATCTTTTCCAATCTTTGTTAGACCTTAAATATACAGTCGTGACTCGTTAATCCGACCCTTAACAATCCTAAACCTTGCTGTCCAACAGGTTTTTAGGAAAAACGAACAGAACCCATTAAAAACAGCCTTAACATACCGACAGCCTTGGATTCTGACTCTGACATGACATTTTATGTCACCAATCAGGATAACAGATTATCTGACTGAACAATCCCACAGATTGGCTACGTTCACACTGCAGGACTTAATGCTCAATTTGGATTTTTTTGTGAAACCAAATTTTTTTTTTGTGAGTTCGTTCACATTTCCAGTTAAATGCGACTTGTATGTGATCTGCTGTGTGAACTTCATACGACCCAAAAGTGTCCCGCATGTGCAGAAGAGGACACGACGACGTCACACGCAGCGAGCGTGCTCAGTGTTTATGGAAGTAAACATGGATGGCGGCGGCGGGGGAGTGGCACCACCACCGATAGTGGAAATAGAACTGTAGCCGCTTTCCTTAACTGGCATCAGCAGCCAAGTACTGCCTGTGCGTTCCGGCCACTTTCACCCCATCAGAGCGCTCCAACAGGGTGGAAGTGTCCCCCCAACCGCTCCGAATATTTGGATATTCATCATTAACTGGGCCTGAATATCCAGAGACCAGAAAGTGGTATTCAGACCAGCCCTACTAGTTATTATAACAACTATGAACAATAATTACCAACAAATGAGCCTTCCAGCATCAAGCCCTTCTCGTATCTCGACCTCCGTCTTGACAATCCGACAGCCTTGCTATCCAACATAAAAGAAGGTTTATTGTAATGACTGTATTAACCTTTTGCACGTATTAAACTGAACAACTTTTGCATCAAATGTGCTAAAATGCCATCACTGAATATGGTACAAGGTTTTGCAGATTTCTTCAGTATCCTTGTTAGGACTGGGCAGTGTGTTTTACAGGATCAATATATTTTCACACAAAAGATAAGATGGAATAACATGTTTATATTGATAGTTTGATGCTGCGTTACAAAATCTGTTTCTTCCATTAGCCATGCCAGTGTTTGCATCTCTTCTTTCCCACACAAACCCGTCGCCACTCTACCTCTCCGTATACTCGGCTCTCAAAGTTCGAAGTTTACACCAACTTACCGTCACACTTGCACGTGTGATAACAGCTGACAAAGCATTGGTTTGTGAAAAAGGCACTGCACTTAAATGAGCCGTACACTGTTCATGCCTCCATAGATGCTCTGCAGAGATTCATGTACAGTATTTTACAGAAGATTTGTTAGACTGTGTTGTTTCTGCACGGCATCAGGGCATGAATAGTTTTGTTCATGCCCATATTTTGTGTAGAATTATGTCGCTAATGGGGTTATATATACAGCGGTATTAGCAGTACTTGTAATATTACATCTGCTGTTATGAGTGTGAGTGGTGTTTATTAACACAAGTGTCTGTTTGTGTCTCTGTCCTCCATATTTACAGAAACATCATTTACATTCCACTGCCTCAGAAACTGAGTGTGGAAATGGTATTTGTGCGTATGCGCGTGTGTGTGTGTGCGTGTGTGCGTGTGTGTGTGCGTGTGTGTGTGTGTGTGTGTGTCGCCACGGCCTGCTCCTTTGCTTTGCATGTCATGTGATGCATGAAAAGATGAGCCCTGTAGAGCGAGACAAAAGAAACGAAGAAGGGGAGGTTGAGGGACGAGGAGAGAGTTGGAGGGGCGATATAAGAAGGGAGGAGGGGGGGAGAGAAAGAGAGGGAGGAGGAGGAGGAGGAGGAGGATGGAGGGATGATGAGGAGAAGGATGGAGGGGGGGGGGGAGGATGGATGAAGAGGACCCAGATGTATGACTGTGGCCTGAGGCTGAGAATTTGAAAGTGTGGCAAATTCAAATATTTATTAAAAGCGAGGTCTGGATAAACATGAAGGGGAGAGTGTGTGTGTGTCTGTGTGTGTGTTCGAATCCCTCAGGGCTGCTGGCGCAAAGCACATTGTATTAATATCCAAGTATCCATGCCACCCTGTGAGCAGAGTGTGTGGGTGTATCTCTGTATGAATTTACTGTGTGTCTCTGCATCCATTATGTCCCTTTTATGCGTTTTTATGTCCTCACGTGTGTCCGACCGTGTGTGTGTGTGTGTGCGCGAGCGCGTGTGTGTGAGTTTTAAACAAATTGATTAAGCAGGTTGTGATGGTTTCAGAGTTCAGAATAATCCATGAAGGCAGCAGACTTTAAAGGCAGCACTGGAGCTCAACCAGTGTGTCACAGCTCCTCTTCACTTTATAAGTCTGTTTGGAAACAGAAATGTAGAGCAGCTTTCCACTGACCTGTGGTCATGTTTACTTTGCAGGCAAGGAAAGTTTATTTATATAGCACATTTCATACAATCTGAAGTGCTTCACACAGTGCAAAAATATTGGATCAGGAATAGGACCAATGAAGATAACAAGACTTAAATAAGTAATTAAAAAATTAAAAAGAGTAATATAATGGCATTTAATTTTTTTTAAAAAAGCAGCTAAAGTATAATTAACCCCACTCCTACTTTTATGTATATATTTAAGCTATTAACAGACTCATATCAGAGGAAGAACAAGTACTGAAAATACATTTGCACGACACTGTTGAACATCTCATACCTACGTTAGATATTAGAAAATGATATCAAACATGGAAAAGAAAGAGAAGCAGTAGTTAATGAAGGGGCGGCATGGTGGAGCAGTGGTTAGCACTGTTGCCTCGCAGCAAGAAGGTCGCCGGTTCACATCCCGGTGAGGACACCCGGGATCATTCTGCATGGAGTCTCCATGTTCTCCCCGTGGGTTCTTTCCGGGTTCTCCGGCTTCCTCCCAAAATCATGTTGAGGTTCAGTGGTGATTCTAAATTGCCTGTAGGTGTGAATGTGAGTGTGCTTGGTTGTCTGTCTCTAAGTGTAGCCCTGTGATAGACTGGTGACCTGTCCAGGGTGTCCCCTGTCTTCACCCTAAGTCAGCTGGGATAGACTCCAGCCCCCCATGACCCTAGTGAGGATTAAGCGGTGTATAGATAATGGATGGATGGATGCATAGTTAATGAAGATAAAGAGTGGATGAAAATCAAGAAAAAGAAAACTACAGTCGATCATTTTTAAAGAGAATAAACAACTTTGTCTAGTGTTAACGAAGTCTGGTGAACAGTTTGCTGCAGTATTCATGCTAAACAACATTAAACATTGCCCTGACCTGTCTATGCACTGGGCACATATCTTTTTTGTCTGACTCAGGAGAAAATGACTACCAACGTTGATAAGAAACGTAGCATAATGACAGTGTTAGAGTCTTTGTTGTGATCACCGTTACACCTCCAACGCCCACTTTTCTGTTTGTGCTCATGCAGTGTTGCAGTGGTTCAGGCCATCTCCTTCCAGAAGAAGAGTCTGTCCTACATGCTGCTGGTGAATCCTGGAAATCTGTTCAGCATCAACCAAGAGAGCGGTGCGCTCAGCCTCACCAGGAGCGTTGACTACGAGAGCGGTCACAACCTCCACACCCTGCAGGTCCGAGCCTCCGAGCCCGACACCAGCCTCAGTGGCGTGGCGGAGGTAAGCCGACGCAACCGAAAACAAAGAGACATGTTTACTTACAAATGCTGTCAAATTTAGCCATGTCATATTACAGTGGGATAATACCAGCACAGCCACAAAAGCAAACAAAGTAATCATGTATGTATGGCCTCCAGGAGATACCCACATTGTCATAAGCATATACAACCATAAATAGATTCACAGGCCAGTGACAAGTGGTGAAGATTCAACTAGAATTAGCTCTGACAGGTATTCACATCCCACACACTCCATGTTCAAGACATTTGCATGACTGTAGCTAGCGATCTGTTCTGCAATCAGAAGCCCTGCATGTATGTTTTTGGTCGATTTGGATCAAGCTGTTTGACTTGGAGGTTGTCCGCCAAAATGGATTTTGGAGGAGAGCCTTTAGTAAGTGTCACTACATTGTTGTTGATTCCTGAAGTGATGAAGTAATTGTCCTTTTTTACATCTAAGTGTAGAGCATTGAGTGGCTGAATGTCTATATCCTTAGTCAGCAGCTGGTTTCACCCCTGGAGGAGCCATCACTAACAATTGCTAGATTTGTTGCTCGTCGCTTGTGACACAAAAAAAAAAGTCGCAAAGATGATTTGGAAAGTCACCAGATTTAGCGAGAAAGTTACCAAGTAGGGAACACTGTGTGTGCCGGCGGGTGTCGCACATCGATGGTTGTGACGCATATTTTGAGCGACAAAAAATTAAACTAGTGATGCATGATGTCAAAATTTCTGGTCGATACCGAAATCCAATATTAAGATTTCTGATATCGCCGATAACCGATATTACCGATGTCAATATTCAGTTTTTGTTCACACTGAAAAATGAGTATAAGTAAGCACTGTGAGAACGTGAAAACTATTCAAAAGAAGCCCAAATTAGACCACATAGTCTTCTTTATTGCATAACAAAAGTAAAACATATTTAAACATATGTTAACATATTTAAGTCCAGGACCATTTAAGAAAAAACATCTGTGAAATAGCAGCAATATCAAATGTAGAGACGAAGGCGTTGATGTTAGACAATCATCGGCTTTTCACGTCGGCTAAATTTGTTCATCGGACCGATACCAATATAACGGAAAAAACACTAATATCAGCCGATATATCGTGCATCCTTAAATTAAACACGTTTAACTTTAAGGTTACAAGATCACCATAATCTTCAAATTTAGAATTACATTTTAAAAACTAACAAGCTAAAATAAAATAAATTTAAATTAAATACTCATTATTTATTTTCCAAAGCCACAAGGAGCCACAGCAGAGGGATGAAAGAGCCACATGCGGCTTCAGGGCCGCGGGTTGCCAACCCCTGTCTTAGGCGATGCAAAGCCCGGGATGCAGTGATGGTGCCCCTGAAAAATCATGACATAGGAATTGTTTTGGTGGAACAGGGATAAAAGCACTGTCATTAAAATGGCAATTCACCAATAAAATGATCCAAATCTTAGAAAAAACTTGCTATTTACCTGCTCGAAGGTGTAATAGTTGTTCCCTGTAGTGAAGGAAAATTGACAAAGGTACCACACAGGTCATGGTAGGAAAGGAGAAAAGTGCATAAATGGCAGGCTTATACCAGGAGTTTACATCTGGTGAGTCAGACGAAGACTTTATATCATTTTCTCTTTTATAACACACATGCAAGTTCATTATTATGTTTTTGTTTTGCGTTTGCTGTAAAAATGCACATGTGACATCAATTAAGTTAATGAAAAATATTTCTAGACTTCAAGTGATCAGCTTTAAGTGTATTTTGTAAGAGCCGTGTTTTGCTTACACTCTGCATTTCATGTTAGTGTGCTCTGCGTAACACTGGAAACTCTAAATATTTGATAGACTTACAGGTTCAGATACAGTATAAACCCACTGAAAAATAACATGCATACATCCTGGCAATACAAATGCAATAGTATTACTTTCCATGCTGGAGTGTTTTGAAATGAATCATCTGCTGCTGACTGGTGGAGAGTCACGGGCGTTTAAAGTGTTGTTCACACGTCAATGACACACTCGAGCTCTTAAGGCACTATAGCAGTCATCGAAGTATTACAGTATGAACTGGAAGGTCAGCGCAGTGTTGTAAGTGGCATCACAGCCCCACCTCTTCCCCACCTCCCCCTCGATAAACAGAATAAACCCACTTTAACAGTTACGCGACTTAAACTCGCACACATTTTGCAAACATTGGCGGGTGTTGACCCTCGACTGGTGAACGAGCCGCTTTCTGATGCAAACTCATTAATTTCAAATGAGGGGAAAGTGCTGGCGCTGATTCAGACGCCGTGATGCAACTGTTTCATTTACTGTTTATTCTGCTTATGTGCTCATTATGCATGCGTTGAACCAAAAAAACATACTGCTGAGCATCTCATGAAGCTCTCATGATGAAAACTCAGTAAAAAAAGGCTTCAAAGCTGCGTTCAGAACTTTTTAGTGATCGCCACGTAACCAGCTTGGGATCAGCTCGGTTTGAGCTGCAGGATGCTTCCGGTGAGTTTGTGAAGGAGTTTGCAAGCGTTATGGATTAAATGCGGGTGGAGAATATATGCACACATAGCACCGAGTGCTAAGTGCAGAAACCTGGCCGCTAAGTACCGACTCCTATTCCCGCGGTAAGGCTCGGAAGACTTTACACAGCAGATACCTACATCTGTTCACATTAACACACTCACACATGCACACGCATCGAGAGAAATCCATTATCACCTGCTCTCAGTGTCCAGATGGTTGAGACAGACAGAGAATAGCTGCTAAACTACCAGCGTCCCCCAAAGGCCACAGCTGCTCTATAAGCTTGGCTGGTTGATTCACTCTAAAGGCCCTGCACGTGTGTGTGTGTGTGTGTGTGTGTGTTTGTGTGTGTGTGTGTGTGTGTGTGTTAGTCAGTTGTGTAGAGAGCAGCCTCTTCAGCAGTGCTAACATCTCACTGTAGATTCCGTCTTTTCTGTCTCCCTCGGCCTCATCAGACATTTTTAAAACCATCTACATGAAGTCCCTCCATCGCTCCATTAACAGCTTCGTACTATAGACTGTATAGAAGATGGACGTAGCAACCGGCCCTGAAAAATGAAGCCAACCCGGAAGTGTCAAAAACCTACCGCTAGCTGCTGGCTCCAAAAAGCCCTGGCTCCCATAGACTGGAATTGGAAAAGAAGTGATCACAGATCACTGCATTCCTACAGCTCAGGATTTTTTTCTTATTAGTTTTCATGGTCAAATCCAGAGATCAGGTGGCCAATCTGAAAATAAATCAACACTGAATTTTTAAAAAATCGTCAACATTTTGCGGGGCAAGGGGCGTGGCTGGCTTGATTGACAGTCGGCAGCTACGATGCAGAAGAAGCGAGCAGAAGGCGGTAAATGTGGGCGGGCAGAGAGGGCCCGCCTCTCAATCCGTCTGACCAATCGCTGCTCCTATGGCTCCACCCGATTTTTGCGTCACTGGCTCCAAAAATCCAAGATGTCAACCAGGAAGTAGCAAAACCCTGGCTTAATGTTCTCAGTGCAGAAACCAACGGGTGACGTCACGGAAGCTACGTCCATCTTTTATACAGTCTGTGGTTCATATCAGTCAGAGCTGATGAAGCCTCTTGGATGAGAGGTGGAACGTCTTCAAGGAACTCAAGCAAGTCCAGTTGCTACGATTAATCTACGAGAAAAACCCTGACCTGGATGACTGAGAATCTTCACAGACAGATTGTAGATTGTCCCAACAAACCAAATGTGGGGCTGAGAGGATGTCTGTTTGGGACAAAGTGGGACATGTTACCAATGCAAATAGGTAGTTTTGATATCATGTCTATTTCACTCAAGTAAAGGTCTTAACAAATATATATATGTGTAAGACAGCAATGTTCCTCTCATGCTAAGCAAATGCAGTCTTCTACTTGCACTATTGCATTCCCTTATTCTATCCCAGTACAAAGCTTTATCTTATTAGCAGTCAGTGAATCTTGACTAAACTTGTAAGACTCACATGAACCTAAGAAAAAAGAGGAAAAACTTCCCAAGAATCAGCCTCCGCCGGCTTCACCCTGCTGCAAGTCGTTTTCTGCTCTTTGTTGTAGCTGCTCTTGCGTTTCTTTGCGGTAGCTTCCATCTGCATAGCTTGTGACTTTTTGGTGACTCGCAGTTTTTCCCCGTTGGGCGCGTCGTCGGCAGCAAAGACGGCGACAGGTTAACCTGCACTCGACCCACATGTGCGCAGCTTGATCGACATCACACACATCTCCGTGGTGACAGCCTTCCCTGCTCTCTGAAAAGACATCAGATAAATGCCAGATTTTAGGAAAGTGTCTGTCCTGTGGTGGTAACTTTTGAAATATCAGAACGCAGGGCATCATCTTAGTATGAGGGAGAAAGTGGAGTCACAGTCATTTCAATGGAATCTCTTATTAAATCAGCTTGTTTCAACATCTGTAACAGAAATAAAGGTTGTGGTCAACAGTTTTCATACTGGTGACATCCGCTGCATGCATAACATCCATCCATTCACACGAGGAAACCTTTTAAAACATTTCCTGATGCACTTGATGTGCAAAAATTGCCCCCATTTTTCTTGTCGGGGAAGAAGAAATCACACAAATCATGTGCTGCATACAATAAAAGCGGCTTATTGTACTGCAAGTAATTGCTATTGTCGGGGTGATTACTGTTTGCACCACAGACCTGAGAGCAATTTGTGCTTCATTTTTTTTCTGTCTATACAGTAACAAAAGGTGTTTGTTTGCTTCTTTCTTTTGTGTCATTTCTTTTTTTTTTTTTTTTTAAATTGAGAGTGCTCCGGCTTACAACATACATATTCACCTGTTGGTGCCTGAAGTGAAAATAATAACCAATTTTCTTACTGTTTACACTCGACTCTTCTAAATATTCAGCGCGTGTTTGCAGAAGCAGCTGTGCATCTAAATCCTCTCAGCGTGCCCCTCCGCCGTCCTGCTGCTATTACCGAAACGCGGGGTGTGTCGAAGGTTCAGGACCGCAGAGGAAATCTGTGCTCAGGTGGTCGAGTCTGCAGCCTCCACCAGTTAAATCAGGCTTTATGGGAATGGAAAATAGCGTTTCGGTTTGAGCTCCAGCGGCTCGGGATAGTGGGTGAACTGGACAGGAACGGGGGCGGAGAGGCAACGATGCCGAGGCTTTAGGAGGTTTTAAAGGAGAGACGTAGAGAAAGAGACAGGCTGGAAATGGGTTTCTCTTCTCGAGCAGGAGACATTTGTCTTCATGATGTTTGCATGAATTATTTTGGAACAACAGGATTTACTGCTCCTGTTTACTAAAGCCAAAGTCTTCCCAAGCAAGCTCGCACCAAAACTTCCAAACCTGCTGATTCGGACTCAAGTTCTGAGGAGTAATGAGCCCCGATTTCTGTTGGTGCTGGTATTAGTCTGTGATTAAATCTGCATGTCTTCCAGTTGATCTTTAGTTTAGACAAATTCTAGCTAAAAGTAAACCTGATCTAACTAGTGAAAACAATGTTAGTTATGAGTTTTAAAATGTCAGCCTGCTGGCCTACATGCTGTTTGTTGTTGGGGACCGGCCAATCCAAGCAGAAGTCAGGATGGAGTTGAATACTTTTTCATTTACTCAGTGTTCAGTCACAGCTTGTTCTATACGTTCCTACACTGAAATCATTACAGCCGTTGGATGAGTGATAGAAGATCACACAAAAAAGATCCCATATTGCTCTGTAATAAAAATAAACCAGTACCGGTCTCTCCTTAGGCTTAATGAAGATCAAGAAAACAAATCATAAGTACACCGTACTGTGTGCTAGACAGTGGGTTTCATATATAAATTGTAGTGGAAACTCTGGTAGGTTAATCTCAAATTATCATTGGCCTTCTGCTCGAGCATCTCTGATTTGCTTGAAACTTTTCTTTATCATAAACTCTGAATATTTAAGCTGCTATGTAAGAAATTTTAGATTAGTTTATGAATTACTATCGGAAATATTTTTTTATACATTGAAATTTGAGGCTATGTTTGATGATGATTTCTCACGAACTATTAAAGATAAATTCCTGTAATTTTCAGTCTTACTTGTCAGATGATTGATTTAAAATCTACAATATTGGACAAGTAGATCACATAGTGTCTGATTATGAGTAACTTGACATATGAGAGGAAAAAAACTGAAGCCGTCATGAAAAGTCCCATCTTTGAGACACATACAATAACAAAAAAAATATGATAATGCAGAAGTCAACGACTGATCATTTATGAGCCAAATGTAGATGCATGTCACAGTCGTTAAAAACACAAACCATTTAGGCTGCTTTTTAACAATTCCTGAGATCTGACGTAGCCTTAATTTTCAACAAGTGGGTCAATGTGCAATTTAGGAAAAAGTATTTGTTGTTTCACGCTAGAATTATACAAATATATTTATGAATATCCATATTTTATGCTATTAAAAACTCTGAAATGATTGAACACAAAAAATCGATGATTTGATTTGCACCGAGCCTGGTTACAATCCCAAAAAAAGAAAAACTACTATCACCTTTAAGATGCCTCTGTTTCTGTCTGACGTATTCTGGTGTGGAGTCGAATCAGGCGCATTAAAGGCCTGACTGTAACTTAGCAGATTTGACTATGAGCTAATATTTTGAAGGCTTATCCAAAGACTAGCAGGTGAGATGTCCCCCTAAATGTGAGCCATAGGCGTTCAAATTGTTGTGCAAATGTCATATTTTACAAACCCCAACTAGATGATTTTCTACTTCCTTCCTCTAAAATAATCCATCTGTTGGGTCGCGCTGACATTAAAATGCGAGACGTTAACGGTGAGATGCTCCCTGCAGGTGGTCGTCCACATAACAGATGAGAACGACTGCACGCCAGAGTTCCTCCACTCCATCTACACCAGAGACAACATACCTGAGAGCATCGCACCTGGAACCTCACTGCTGCAAGGTAACTCATCGCCGATCTGTGGAGGGAGCAGCTTCTGCTAAACTATTTGCCCTCCGTCACCGAACACAACACCAGCACGTTACACCTGTGGTTATAATGTACAGCGTGTGTGTGTGTGTGTGTGTGTGGGTGTGTGTCAGAGCCATCTGTCATAGCTGCTGGTGACTGGTGGAGATCAAACAGTCCGACTTCAGCGAGGCTTTGCTCTTATTAGGCAGACAGCCAGCGCCACACACTCACACACACACACACACTCACACACACACACACATGTTTTTGCTGCTATCTTTGCGAGAACCATAACGCATGACCGGACCCCTTGCCTTAACCTGAACCCTAAAACCACATCAGAACCCTCAAACGGCCCTTTGAAGGCTGCAAAATCCTCACTTTCCAAACAGCGTCCTCACTCTTCAAACTTCAATTTGTCCTCACAAAGATAGACATTCCTGCACATGCTTTCATGCATACATTCAACAGTGTACAAACTAATGTATTTATACAATCTTTTCCTTTTCTCCTCTCTCTCCTTTCATCTTGGTCATCTTTTCACTTTTCCACCATCTTTACTGCTCCTCTTGTGTATCTCCTCTTTCTTCTCAATCCACATTTCTGTCCGTTTTCTCTAAATTTTTCTTCTGTTTATCCATATTTGTGCTCTTTTCTCTATTCTCACCATCCCATTTCACCTTTTCCCACCTCGTCCACCTCCTTGTCCACTTCCTAACCACTCTTTATTCTCTCTGCGTCCACTTTCCTCTATCTTGTTCCTTTCCTTGCCTTGTTTTCTTCATAACTTCTCTCCCTCCTCTTCTGTCCTTATACTGTTCTTCCCTTTCCACTCTTCTTCATCTCTTTCTCCCTTTTACATCTATCTCTTTCTATTCTTCTCTTCCCTCTTCTCATGTTTTTTCCTCGTCATCCTCTTTCTCCAATTTTCCTCTCCTCCTCTCCCTTTCCTCCTCTCTCTTTCTGCTTTCTTTTTCTCCTCTTCCTTAAACCCCTTTCCTTGTCTGATTTTCTAATACTTCCTCCCTTTTCTTTCTTTCAAATCTGTCCCTCTCCATCATCTGTCTCTCTTCTCACACTTTCTTTTCACTTCTTCTGTTTTCTTCTCCTCCACTTTTCTCCTCATCCTCACCTCCTCTTCCAACAGTTCTGGCCCGAGACTGCGACTCCGGCGTCAACTCGGAGCTCTCTTACTTCGTTCCCAGCGGCGACTTCGACATCACGTCGGGAGGCGTGGTCAGCCCCGCCCGTCGCCTTGACTACGAGCGGCCCAATCACATCTACGAGTTCGTGGTGGTCGCCGTGGACGCGGGGACGCCCCCGCGCACCGGGACGGCCTCCGTCCGCATCCGGGTCGCCAACAGCAACGACGAGGCGCCCGTCTTCTCCCAGAGCGTGTAGGAGTCTGACGTTTATTTGGACCTTTCTAACAGTTTCCTTCTTAACTTTAGTTTTTGTACTGTCAAAGTAACTCTGTTTGATGATGAGGGGGCTGCAAGGTGGCTAGAGGGTCGCCGGTTTGCGTCCCGGTGAGGACACCCGGGATCTTTCTGCTTGAAGTCTCCATGTTCTCCCTGTTCAAAAACATGTTGAGGTTAATTGGTGATGCTAAATTGTCCGTAGGTGTGAATGTAAGTGTGCTTGGTTGTCTGTCAGCTGTGATAGACTCCAGCCCCCCGTGACCCCCTAGTGAGGATAAAGTGGTGTATAGATGATGGATGGATGGATGGATGGATGGATGGATGATAATGAACATCAGCAGCCAGGTTCTCTCTCTTTCTATCTCTGTCTCTGTCTGTCTCTCGCCCACAGAGTCAGTCTGCTAATTAAGTTTGTTTTCAATTCAGGATCTATTTTTATTCCCGCTATTCTCCATCTGTTTTCACTTCATCTTCACCTCTCTTCTCACTCCTCTGTCTGTCTCCTTCACACTTTCTAATTTCTTGTATTGTACTTCTTCCTCACTTTGGCATCAGATGATTTGATGTATTTCTTATCTTCTTTTCTCCTCTGTTTTCTGCTTTTACCTTCTTTTTTTGTTTTTAATCTATTCTCTCTCCCCTCTCTTTTTCTTTATTTGTCTTTCCTCTTTGTTCTCTTTTCTTTAAATTAAGACCTCTTCTTTCCATCTTTCTAAACCCTGTTTGGTAAAGAGTTTCTCTTTCACTTCCTCTCCGTCAGGTATAAGACCTTCCTCAGTGAGGATGCCGGTCCTGACACGCTGGTCGCCATCGTCCACGCCAACGACCCAGACGGTGACGCCGTCTCCTACGCCATCACCGGCGGCAACGAGGACAGCAACTTCCTGCTGGACAACCAGAAAGGTGAGGGAGAGACACAAAAAGTGGTTATTTTGGAGAAAAACATGGATATTTTTTGCATCATATAGCTTTAAAAACTCGTCGTGATTACAGCTTTCCCTAATGATGCACCACTGGGCTTGAGAGGAGCTGAGCTGCTGCTTAGAGTTAATAGGTGACTCATGAAGCAAGTGGCCATTATTTAGATATTTTTTCACTAATCCTAAACTTCTACTAACCATCTGAACCCCAAAACCTGCCAGTGGATTTGAAAAAGCATGTTTTGGTTTAAATAATTGCCAAAATTGCGCCTTTTATCAGAGCAATTACCTGTAAAAACTGAAATCATCATCAGGTTTTCAACTTCCTAGCGGTCCTTGAACTGCTGAGCTTCGACACAAATATAATGTTGAGATTGGGATATTTAATCAAAATCAGTTTGTTATACTTGTCTCATTTAAAAACTTGCCAAAAAAAAACTGTTTTCAGCAGATTCTGTAAAAAAGCAAAACAATTCAGCGCTCCTTGGTGTACTGAAGGAGCCATTAGCGATTCACCAGCAGTAACGTGACAGAAATTCAGTCTGTGGCTGAACTTGGCTGAACTGCAGGCTATGTTTATACAGAGCAGGTAGTAAACGAGCATGAAAACCAATTAAAATGAAACTGTCTACAGTATGTGGCGTAAAAAATATTTTTTTCCAGTTTAATAGTTTTTTTAAACTTTTCTTTTCAATCAGAGAAATACAACTTTATTATTTTTTTCTCTTTTTACGATATATGGCATTCATTTTTAATACAAGACACATGTTTGAGTTACTTATAGTCCTGGTTGTGCTGTTTCCATAGAAAGAGAGAAAAAAAAATAAGCCTACAGTAAGTAAAAAATGTGAGAGGAGCAAAAACCCTCCAGGTAGCTGCCTGAGGTTCAGAGGGTTAATCCAGAAGCTTCCAGCCTGTTCACTAATAGCTCACCTTTATCTGCTATATAACGGAGGTTTGTGAAGTCAAACACATGCAGCTGCTCTCACTTTGTTCCACCAGAGATGCGACGCACGCCGGACAACACATTAGTGCCCCAGAGTACGTAACCATCTGCCTCGCCGTCGTCTGCTTCTCGAAATCCTTTCAGCGTTTTCCTAAAAGTCACATCCTCCCAGCAGACATCCTGCTGATGCTTTAGTTGTTCTGAAAGTGTGCTTAGACGGAACAAAATGAAAAAAAAAAAAACAGGCTCAGAAAACAGGAGAAGATAGGAAGCGGAGCTAAAGCAAAAAAAAAAAAAAAAGTTTGTGCTGAAGATAACGCCAGAGGCAAGGTCAGAGGTCGTTACGATCTAAAATGAATGCAATCACGTCCGTCCAAGTCGTTTTTGAGACACATTCGTGCACCGACATCAGCATGCAGCTCTGCCTCTAATGGGACAAAAACACAGGAATGATTATGTTGGTTAGCGCACACACACACACACACACACACAATCACTTTTACACTCATGCACACACACACACAGCTGCACCGAGATCACTCACGCCGCACGGCAACGCGGCTGTTGCCATGGTAACCCGTATTTGGGGGATAAAGCTTGGTGGCATTAACGAGGCCAGTGAACCCCCCTGGAAGACACACAAACACATGCATAAATAAAACGAACACACGCACGGTTAGAATCACCACCAGTCACACAAACTGTTCATGTCACTGGTTCTGCTCATTTAAATATTTTGTATGTCTATCTCTGTGAGGACCAGCTGGGATGTTTTAGCCGCTCCTCGCTTTAGGGGAACAACTACGCGAGAGTTTAAAAGGCCAATTTAATTCGCACTATAATCAGCGATATGTGAATTGAGACACCTTCCACACATGGAGGCACGACTCATGGCGGCAGGAGGGTTTATTGCGTTTGGCTGAACTCCACCAAAAGCAGAAATTTCGTCTCGCATGTGCAAGGAGGTGGAAAGCAGCACATTGCATACATATGGCGAACGAGACGAGTATTAAGTTTGCTTTTCTGGCACACCGCTGCGTAAACAGTGTCACGTTTTGGAATTCAGAGACGTCTGCAATTAAAACGCGATTCTCTCAGATATTGCGGCGAACAGATGTGGAATTGATTTTTGATGCGATGCTAAATTATTTCCTCTGTGACGTTTCTCGGCTTTCGTATTGTTCACTGAATTGTGAATTTTTAAATCACGTTGCATGTATTTGTCCTTTTTTATTTCCTCAAATTGAACCTTCTTGACCTCTCCTGTCGCATCTGTTTTGTTTCTGCTCGGTGACTTTTTTTTTTTTTGCTGTTTTATGCATCCTGCCAATAATTGTCCTCACAAAAATAGAATTCCAGACGTATGCATGTGTCAGAGAAAGACTTTTTTTTCCCAGAGATAAAGTTCATGTGCAACAATGTGATGCTCGGTCATGTTTTGCATGTTTATCTTTGCATGTGTGCGTCTTCTTCTGCTTCTCTAAGCCTCGCTGTCACCTTATCACCCAGCATGCACTGCTCCGCTGCTCTGCCTCACACACACACACATGCACACACACACACACACACACACACACACACATACACACACAGACACACACACCCGTCAATGCACAAAAAGATATAAACATGAACATTTGCACATAAATGATATATTATATATTAAGACTCTCTCTCTCTTTTTTCGCTTACACACTCTCATATGCACACACACACACACACACACAGTCAAGCAGCAGATGGCCTTTGGCTTGTTCGGCTGTTCTGCTTTGTCACTTCAAAGCGTTGTGAAGTATTTTCATGTAGATGCGTTCGCTCCCTCCCAGCCTCCGTGTCTCTATTCATGTTGCTACCAAAGCTGCTTATTTGTTTGTTTGTTTGCTCCGCTGCTCTGTTATGTTAATGTGGAAGTGATTGTTAGCGCAGGAAAATATGACATTTGTTTTAGGCCCGAGTTTGAATAATGTGAGGGTTTCTCTCGCCGGCTGCCGTTGGTGACCCACCAAGCCGCAGACATCACAGCGCGGCGTTTCATCTGCGCCGGTTTTAAAGCTCCGTATGTCGGTTGTTGTTTATACTTACCTACACGGTTGCCGTCGTGGATGCAGAGGCTGGGAAACTCCCACAGCAAGCGCTTAGTGTGGAGATGAAATGATACGCCACTTATTCAAACGACGGGAAAATAATCAGCAACAGTTTGGATGTCTTTGT